TTGATGCAAAAGATTGTCATATGTGTTGCATCATCAAGAATTGCTATATTGCTACTTAAGGGAAGAAGAACCACCCATTATATATTTTTTCAATTACTAAGAATTCTGATCATGCTAAATTTATTCTCCAAAATTTACTTAATATTTGGAATGAACTTTCAATATAACATCATTATTATATAGAAGTAGTTGATTGCTCCTTTAGAGACATTTGAGATATTGATTGCCCATTTGGAGGAACTATAATAGTTTTTGGTGGAGATTTTTGCCAAATATTGCCAACGATTGTAAAAAGAACTCAAGAAAAAATTGTAGCAACATCTTTTTAACAATCAATACTCTGGCCTCAAATAAAAATCCATACATTAAAAGAAAATATAAGGTTGAATTTAAGAGCACTTTAATCAGATATTAAGTTTGCTAATTGACTTCTTTATATATAGAATGCACACACACATTGTATATATAGATGGTTGTGCATTTAAAATCTTAATGGTTATATTATTATTGACTAATATTTCTATTTGCCACTTGCTAGATTGAAAATAGTACAAACTTATTGCCTAATAATATAGTTAAGCTTTCTAATCACATGATTGTTAATCAACAATTAATGTCCTTTGTGGATGTTGTTTATCCAAGACTAGCAAAAGACAATATAGAAAATAATGCCTTCTTTGGAAATAGAATCATTTTATCTATATGCAATGATGATACAAAAGATATTAATGAGAAGATTATGGCCATATTTTTCAAACAAGAACAAGAATATTTAAATGTTGATCAAGTTGTTGTTGAAGATGGTATCGATAAAAATAATATTTATCTAGTCAAATTCATTAAGTCGCTTAATCCATCTAGAATGTCCACATCAATGTTTTGTCTTAATATTAATCACATGAAAATTACACAACTAAGAGATCGAGTTCTTGAAGCAAAAATTCTTAAAAGAAAATTTGTTGGAAACTTGGTGTTTATTCCATAGATTACATTAACTTCTACAACAAAAGAACTTCTATTTATTCTAAAGAAAAAGTAATTTCTAATCCGTCTTGCATTTGCAATAACAATAGACAAATCCCAAGGACAATCAGTGAAACATGTTAGTTTGGATCTACAACATCCTATTTTTTTTCCATGGTCAACTTTATGTAGCATTCTCTTGATGCACTTCCTCTCATTCTATCAAGATTCTTCTTCCTAGAAATAACAATTTAAATTCTATACTGAATATTTTTTTTTTCAAAAGATTTAATTAGATAAATATTAGTAATTTATTTTTTATATTTTAATTAATTTATTTATTAACTTTAGTACATCTTTTAATGAGAGCCACCACTTGGTGGCTGTCATTGACCAGGCATGCACCCCTCTTGGTTTTCATCAAAAAGCTTAACGTTGTCTGGAGTTCACATGCCAAGTTTTCATTAGCTGTTAACTCTCTCTTCGAGTATAACTGCTGAAGTTCAACAGAAATGTGAACCAGTGTTGTTGAATCCATGTTGTTGTCACGGATCGCATGCAACATCGGCGTCTCATTAACGGAATGCTGGCTGTGATGAACCGCAAAAGCTCCAGTTTTGGGAGACAAATTCCCAAGAGGAATCTTCTAATGAAGTCTTTGATTTAACGCTCGCGCTTGCACTCAGAGCCTCACCAACCCAAGAAATGTGGCACGACAGTGAGGGATGTGGGGCATACTTGGCTCATAGCTCGAAGCACGCATAAGCTTTTTGATGTGCAGGATGGACGTTGATCGAAACTTCTTGAAGCTTCTTTTGTGTAAAATGAGGTATTGAAGTTGACTGAGGCACTTGCATGGACGAAGACAGAGCCAGTGCACCATTCGCAAGCAGTGCGCCATTCACTTTTGGGAAGGTGGGTATAGCAGCTTTTTGAAGTAACTCACACCGTAGACTTCCTCGGAATGCATCGTCTCCTTGGGTCATTCATCGGTGCCAGGGAATTTTATTGCCTTTGGGATGCACCCGCATGTCCTTTGAGCTATTTTGTGCACATCATCATTCGAGTATGGTATATAAAACAGGCCATCCTGCGCTATCTTTTTGTGCCTTGTGAATTTTGTGCTCCAGTCGGATAGTGTAGCACCTTCGAGACTTGGTCCTCCGAAAGTTATTCATGGAGTGATGCTCGCGAGTGTAACTCACAGATTGTGTACGGGGATCCTGAGGGTCTAGTGTTTGCTAGAATGATTCTGGATTCGAGAAGTCTCCACATTAGGTGTACCGTGAGCTTTTTGAATGTTGCGCAATTCCAACGTTGAAAAATTCTTGAAGATATTGAGGGTTGTTCATGGACTCCCATTTATACTTGCTGGTAAGATGGTTTACATATTGGATATCGATTAGCTTCTTGGTCTGGTTCGCGCATTACGTAGTAGTCCTGCCGTGTGTTACTTTAATGTTTGGTGTGCCGCTAAAGCTTTCAAGGATCGTAAATCAATGAGAATCATAAATCGTATCAAAAGACTACATTGTACTTGATTGCTGGTGATATCGAAGCGGCAGGAAGATGATTACCTGCAGCAAAAGAGCGGCGACGTTCATAATTTTCAAGCTCAAGCGTGTTGCGTGGTGCGGACCAGGTTTACAGAGATCGACAGGATGTAGTGACCATGATGTTTTCACTTTGTCAATTTGTGAATTTTCGTTGATCTGTGGTTTTGTTTTTGACATTCAAAGATGTGTGCTGATCTGGACTAGGGCTATGTAACAATTGCGATTCCGTCAATTTTTAAGCTCAAGTGTGTTTAAACATGCATTCAACATAACTTCTCCATTGTTAGTTTGCTCCTTTTCATTCCTCTCATTATTATTGGATTACTCATTGGTGTGTGCATTGGGTTTAAATTCAATGAGATAAACAAACTTTCATGAAATCTTCAATAAGGGCCTTAACGAAAGTTCCTAAGCGAAGTCGAGGGAAAAAAAGTCGAGAACTTTGAGACATCCACAGATGTTCCATGATTCTTGAGTAAGGATAAGATTGATTTCGTAATTTGCATGTGAATGAGGTTGCTGTTAAACAACCCTTGAAACTAGAACGCCTCTGCGTGAGTTGGCCGTCAAGGTAATCACAAATGGTCGTTACAGTTGAGGACAGTGCCTTCCAGTGGTGATTTTGATGTATTTTGTGGATAATTAGAAGTTCATTTTTTGACTTCTTGCATGACACAACAGTGTCTGGACTGAAGTCCCTATTTTCTTCTCTACTCCACTCTACTGCCGTATATTGTAATTGTCTGTTACGCTTTTTTGCTTCATCAACTCTCTTAACCTGGAACCAATTCTTTCCTCCAACGTCTACAGTCAAATGTAGTCAAATGTATTCATCATGAAAGTAAAAATGTAATTACCAATCATCAAATGTAGTCATATATATTTATCATGATAATAGTTTTTAATAGTTTTTATCTTGATAATTAGCTTGATAAAAGTTTTTAATAGTTTTTATATAATTTCTGAAAATTTCTGAATTACTTTGAAGTATGTAATTACTATTATGTATAACAATATTCAAAATAGCAGTATGTGCCCTGCTGTTAAGTAATGATTGTTCCAAATAGAAGGGAGGATCTTTTTTAATTGCAACTTCTTGAGTGGATTACAATTGAAGGAAAATCAATCTTTAGAGGAAAGTTAAATAGGGTCTACTGAGACAAAGAGATTCGTGTTGAAAGATTATGTTTTATTTTATTTTGGTAGTGTTGGGTTTTATTTTATTTTGGTAATTATCTAACAGATAGTTACAATTCTAGCAGATAACATTTTCTTTTTAAAATTAGTTACAACTTTATTCTAAAGAACACAAGGTGGGTGAAGAATGTGGTCAATGGTGAAAAATTGGATAGTGTTGTGTTTGAGCTCACATGGAACCAGCTATAGTACATTTTATATCATATCATTTTATATACAAAATTATTGAACAATGTAATTTTATTAGAATTTTCCAAGTATTGTCAACTACTACAAAAACTATCTGAGACAATGACATGGGTTCATCTAGTACATGTATAATTTAAAAGATTCAAACTTACAAAAGAATTGAAAACAAATAAGGCTTAATTGAATAGATTAAAATAATTTCCATTACTTTATTTTTGTGTGTATATTTATACATATATGTATGTGTATTGATATTTATAAAGATAAATTTTATGAATGATAAAGAATATAAAAATATAATTTCACAATTATATTTTTGAAGTCAATCAATTTAATGAAAGTTCAACATATTATAAATTAAAAACACCTAAGAAGATTTATAATTTGAAAAATGATTAACGAATTTTGGTTAAATTATTGAATTAGGCTTTGATTGAGCTTCCTAAAGGTTATAAACTATTCAAATTTCTAATAATGTATAAAAATTCTATTTTTTAAAAAAATCCCACTTATTAGTATATGTTTGTTATTTAAATTAATGACATCATCATAATAGCACTTAGAGTAATAATTTGGTTTCACATTAAATTTTTAAAAATTCTACATTGATTTTTTTAAAAAAATTACAGTTCTTATTATGATTCTTTGTAGACTTTATTATAATTTTCATTTATATAAAAAAATAATTGCTACTTGTTTAGGAAATTGTCATAGGAGTTATAACTCACAGAAGTAAAGCTTGATTTTCCAAATAATATGTTAAAAAATAGAAAAATTTACTTCAACAAAACTACCTCCAACTCAGCATATCATAAATAAATACTATCTCACATTATTCACACAATTGAGCTTTGCTTAGGGTTTCCAGACAGGGCAGAATATGGTTATCAGTGCCGAGAGAACGTCAGGGAACGGGAGCTCGCAAGCTTGGTAACGGCGGCAATGAACACGGCGCCACGTCACCTCGTCATGGACGGCGTTTGTTCGGAAATTTCTCGCTCTCGCCGCTCGCAGAGGAAGTTTCTAGGGGGCTTCCTCTGAGGACCCGTGAGGAGGCTCTTCTGGAGGTGGAGGAGATGGCACATTCCATCCGGAACATGTCGCCGAGATCACAAACAAGGACCCGCGACCCTAGACCCTCCTCGATCGATCGAATGAATCATCCACTCGCTCGCCAAGGTCAACAATCAAACAAAGAAACGAACAAGCAAACAATCCGCTCCCCTGGTTTCTACTTGCCTTGCTTTCAATGCAACCTGTTGGTTCTCCCATGACTATCGGCTGTTTCGGTGCTTGCAGTTCCGCAGATTCGCCGCATTGGAGCTAGTCTTCATTATCGGAGGATTTTTCGGTGATTCCCCGTTTGGCAATGCCTTTTTGTTTTGTTTGAGCTTTTGGTGCGCATTTGCAAGGTTGATTGCCGCATTTGGGCGACTGGAACCCTCAGGATCATTTGAGGTGGGAATGTATGCACGAGCTGTTGCGTGGTTGAGGTCCTATGGATGTGCGTGTGCCGTGGGTGGTAGGGAGGTCGCTAATCTCGACCCGCGATGTCTAGATTCTGGGTTTAGGAATGTTGAGCCTGCTTGTGATATCTTTTGAGTGAGTGTTCTCGAATCCTGGGTCGGATTGCGGTGTACTGGTGCTGACGACGGGGTGTTGCGCAGATTCGCCTGGATCGCAGAAATAGTGGTTTGGTGGGGTTATCCTCTTGGCCGCAATGGTGAAGCGGTGGTCTGGGTTGTTGCTTCTGCTGTTTGTTCTAGCTTGTGTCGCCGTCGAAATCCAAAGATGTCATTCTTTGGAGGAAGAGGTAGAGGAGGACATTATGCACCCTGTGGAGGATGGGCTTGAGGAGGAGGACGAACTGGAAGATTTAGACGAAGGGTTGGAGGATGTTACAGGCGATCCCGGTAGTTATTCCTCCTCCGCGGATGTCATAGCTGCCAGCAAGGTGGCCAATGTGAATGATCAGGATGTGGAGAGAGTGATTGCAAAGTATGAGTTCGTTTTGTTGTTGGGGTACGCTCCCTGGTGCACCCAAAGCCAGGAGCTTCTTCCTGAATTCGCGGCGGCTTCCGTTCAGCTATCAGACCTCGGAAATCCTACGGTGCTAGCCAAGCTGGATGCTGTCAATAATCCATCCGCTGCGGCGCGATACGAGATCCGCGGATATCCCACTCTTATCCTCTTCGTTAACGGTTCCCGAGACGATTATAGTGGAGGCCACTCCAGGTTATGTTCAGCTTACTTTTAATTGTTGATGAAATCTACGCACCTCACTTCTGTAATGAGAGCATTGCGCTGTTGCGCGGCTAACCCATTTAGAGCTTCTCATTACCAACTTACTAGGCAGTTATTCAATTAATCCAGCTGTGGAGGTGTGCAGGGAGGAGATTGTTCTTTGGGTACTTAAGAAGACAGGGTCCGCTATTACGACTATTTTGAGCAAAGAGTCGGCAGAGTCTTTCTTGAGCAGGAATGTGACTGCAGTGATTGGTTACTTCGACAATCTAGACGTGAGTCTCTCGCATTGCCTTGGCATTTGTCACTTGTCTAGACAATGTGGGCATGAAAAGTGGTAGTTTGTACATTAATTCGCTGTCCTTGGTATTGAGGCTCTTATTTCGAATGTATCTGCAGAGCCCCGAGCATGATGCGTTTGCTGCAGCGGCCAAATTAGATCTCGACACCGAGTTTGTGTCAACTACAAATATAGAAGTTACTCTTCTTTTGTCCCAAGGCGCACCAATTAGCAGCCCTCCATTTATTGCACTGTGCAAGCAAGAACCCGAGCGTTTGTCTGTGTTTGGTATGGGTTCTTAATTCATCTACTTGGTTTCTTTGTGGTTGTAGATATTCGTAAAACCAAGAATGTTACGTGTGTTGTCTTCTAATGTCTTCCAAATATAGTGGTTGGGGGATCACGATACGATCAAATCATCATAGTTTTAGGACTTATGAGGTACCCGTCCTTGATGATCTCTAAAATAGACCTTCACGAGTCATGTAAGGGACCTTGTTATGATGATGCAGGTGGCAGTTTCAATGCAGAGGAGATCGATTCATTCGTGAAGCTCAACAAGTACCCTCTTGTCACCGTATTGAATTCCAAGAATGCCAATTTGGTCTATGCGAGCCCACTGAAGTTGCATGTATAGAATTTCGTCAACTCCTCTTGAATCTGTTCTCTTGCAGGATTATGCTACTTTTCCTATGCACCAGTTTGAAATTGATCCTTTGATGCAATTTCAGTACTTGAGCTGTCGTAGGATACACTACGATACCTGGTTATCTGTTCTATAGTAGGATAAGCTTATGGTCGTCAGGTCCCTAGTGTCTCCATATAATAGAGTGAATTTTTGTAAGGAACCTCCTGCGTGAGACAGTGGCTCATTACTACCTTTAGGAAAGTATAGTTCCTTTCAATATTGCTCCCAACCGGGGCATTGATCTTCGAAAGCAATGATAAAAAGGTGCTTCTTTGTTGCAGCTCTTGCTATTTGCGGAAAGTAAGGATGATTATGTGAAACCTTTGTATCTGGAAGCAGCGAGGCACTTCAAGGGAAAGGTTTGTAAATAGGTTGTACTATCACTTGGTCTTTCATTTGCAGTATCCTACAATCTTATTTTTGAAGCAATTTTTCTTAAATTACTTTCAATAAACTACTTTTCAAGTTGGCTGAAAAATCATTCTTTTTTAAAAAAATATGAGGCTTCTGGATGTTCATTTAGGACAAGTAGGAAATCAGGAGCAATGTTAAAATGCACAAGATAATGATTCCTCTTGTAAATTTTCTCTAAAAGATTTAAAAAGACAGATTATGCAACTGCATAGAACTTCCACCCTGACATTCGATCGTACTGTTTTCACGCAGGTCATGTTTTTGGCGATTGATTTAAAGGATGAGGAGTTTTCAAAGCCTATGCTTGCTGTGTACGGTTTAGACACAGCCAAACCAGTTGTAAGTACTGCCTCCAAATTGTTAGATGTGCCTACTTGATCCTTTATCTCGTTTTGTCACCAAGTTGAAGTACCAAATCTGCCAGGCTTCAGGATCCGACATATCAGAAGAAATGGTCTGAGTTGATCACTGCTCTTGGGTGCTTCAAATTTCAGGTTTTTTGACTGTCCATTGGCTTTCTTGGTTTTCTTACATAAGTTGATTGTACAGGTTGCTGGTCTTGACAATGAGGATGGATCAAGGTATCTTTTGGAGTCGGATCTCACTGTGGAGAGTTTGAAGGTAAATAGAATGAATCCAGCTCGCATCTTTGTATTCACACTGTCCAGCAGTTTGAGCCACCTACATGTATTCTTTTCTGTGACCTACATAGCTTTTGAAGCGTAGAACCTTTTGAAGAGTATCTGCTAGTCTTTCCAAATTGTAGTAAGCATTTCCCATGCTTTTATGCTGTTAATCAATCCTCACGTTTGCAGCCGTGTGATCTCTGTGTGACATGAGGTAGTTAAGTTGCATCATACATGCAAATTCATGTGACTTGATTATTTCGATGGTAATGCAGGATTTTGCTGCAGATTTCTACGCTAGAAAGCTTCCTCTATACTATAAGTCTGATCCTGTTCCTGCTCAGGTGCATCTTGGTGAATTTGACCTTTTTTTTTTTCTTTTTTTTTTCTTTTTTTTTGAATATTTATTAGTTCTCTAACCATTTGTACTAATTTCAGCACATATTTTGGGGACCTTTTTCTGCTAAACTGCGCATGTTTTCTGATTTTTTAGCTGCCTTATTTGGATGATATATCAGTATTGTAGAACGCGTTGCGTGTAATCCAAACTTCCAGTTTCTGATTCTAGCTTGAATTTTGGTGTTATTTGCAGAATGATGGTCTGGTTAAGATAGTTGTGGGGAAGACTGTCGAGAAGATCGTGATGGATGACACGAAGGATGTTTTTCTTTTTGTAATGTCCTTTTTCTATACTTGCTAATGATTCCAGTATGGTTGATAAAGATGTGCGCGCGCGCTCGCTCATATACATGTTTAGGTGTTTTAAATATTTTTTTGTATTCAAAAGATAAGGAAAAAATTGTACAAATATATAGATTAATGGAGAGGAGTGGTGAAGTGTGGGTTCATTAATTCCTTCAAGCTGTTCTTCCGGTTCATATTTCGACTGTCGCTGCTGAAGTTACCAGTGGGTGCTAATTTATGACTGGTTTTGGGTTTGAATTTCGGATAGGTGCATGCCCCTTGGTGCGCAACCTGTGAGAAAGTTGGTCGAAATTTTGAGAAGTTGGCCAAGCATGTCCAAGATGTGTCATCTCTTGTGATGGCCAAGTACGATGCGAACTCAAATGAGCACCCAATTTTGATGGTAAGCTATATGATTCCTCTTGTGGGTTTTTGGCAGAAAATTGAGATTTACTTTTTTTTATTGTTGAGATGTTCCTGAAGTTGCTTCTTTGAGCCTTACAGTTTGTCATTCGCAAGTAATGACGATATGCTTTTATTTCACTTCGTAGTGGGTTCGTTTTGATACTCAAATGTTAAGGACAAGTTTTCAATGCCGACGTCGACTCGCACTATGTGATGTTAAGATACTCGGAAACGGCATGGGTCAATTAATTTCTTTGTTTCGTTTAGTGAAGTAACCGAAGCTGAGTGTTTAGATTAATGGTAGGTTACAATGCGTGGATTTTTTTTGCTGCAGGAAGTACCCAACTATCCATCGCTTTTACTGTATCCTGCTGGCCGGAAGTCGAGTTCACCGGTGTCTACATATCCATTACCCTTCTTGAAAACTCTATTCCTTTCTAGAACGCTTTATTTTATTTTATTTTATTTTGTATATTTTTTAGTTGGGAAAATGAATTTCATATCAAACAATGAGAAAAAATGGCACAATGTAGATTGTCTCATCAACACGCAATATTTTGGTACTAGCTATTTTGGTATGTAGAGCTGCTTTCGTTGAGAATTTTCAGAAATGTTCTGAAGAGCTGAAGTGAAAGACACCGAGTAATTCACGCTGATAAGTTGAGCGATCAACAGTTATGATCAAGATCCTGAACTCGGAATTGTCGTTTCTGCAGTTATTGGCGAAGTCACAAGGTAGCTGGAAAAAGCTCTTGGCATTCTTGAAAGAAAATGTCGCCATTCCGTTTCCGGTGAAGGATGGCAATGATGTAGCGGATTCCGAGGGTCGAAAGGAAACACATATTGACGAACCGGCTGTCACTCAGCAGCAGCAGCCAGAGCTGAAGGACGAGCTTTGATCCTAGTCTCTGATCAAGGCTGTAATGGCTCCATTTCTGAAGGCTTCTCATAGATTCTGATCTGAAGTAGTGTCGAAGTAGGAGTTTGAATGACATCCCAGTCATTTTCGTGTCCTCGGAAGTTCCACATGAAATATGTAACCTTGAACGTCGCTAGACATTAGTGCGACTTGAATTGGGCGGATGTGAAGAGGTGTTGCTGATGACACCCTCCTTTGGAAGTTCTATTGCAGAATAATCTCGGACGTACATGCGTACCTTTATCTGGACGACAATTTGCACACGAACAATTAGACTAACTATTAATTTAACTATTAATCAAAAAAGAACAAAATAGTGCTTTCACCAGGTGGGTTCAGGTATTCTGTCCCAAGCCGAATGATGGTGGTAGTAAGAAGCCTGCACTTCCAACATATCCCCAGCCACGGAAATTGGACCCAACATGGTCTAAGCAAAAATCACAGTTTTGTTGATTCCAGAGTAACTCTGTGGTATCGAAGTAGATGTAGCAGACAGTACATTTTACATTGAGTGAATATTGTTACAAATATTCTTTCTTATTTATCTGACATGTAGAGGGTGAAAAGACGACATAGCAATCTATTTTTAATATCCTGGTACTGTTGATGCAGAGTTGGCTTAAGAGGACGAAGAATAAGAACTATAACACGCAAATTATCCAGCCAATTGCCATCTAGTGTGTATGATTTAACCACTTTTTGACATTCCGATTACCCTTCTACTTCTTATTTTATTTTTTTTTCTCTTTCTCTTTCTTTCATATTCGTTGTTATCAATTTTTTCTAATTTTGATCTTTGGTATAATCTACCAATATTTCTAAAATAAAAACTTTATTTATGGGGCCAAAAGTTCCTATCTAATTCTTAGACACTTCTATCATAATGTTTTTTCTTTCTATAATTACAACAATATTACATTTGGATCATAAATTTTTTGATTAATTTTCTACAAACATCTTTATTTTTTTAATTAGACACTATTATATGATAAATTAATATTTTATTTATATTAAATTGTGAGTAGAAGAGCATCAATCAATGCTTCCATATCATCTTGTATTAAATCTTGTCTTTTCTATAAAATATTATCCAATTATGTAGCATGTTCTTAGAATTAAAACTAATTGGCAAAGTTTAGCATTTTTTTCCTTAAATAAACCAACAATATTCTTATATTCTTGAAAGATTGAAATAATAGGCAAATTCAAAGCTGGAAAAATGGAGGTAAGTGTAACCTAAAATCTCTTATAAGCATCTTGTTGTATAATTAGCTTGAGATGGCTATGCAAGTTTGTTACTTTTCTATAGCTATCAAGACTTTCTAATTGTATATATACATAATGTTGTATGTTGTTAGGACTTTAGGTCTTATCGCTACATTCTTTATTTTTATTTTTTTTGTTGATTGCACTAATAGAATTAATGATAATAAATTTTATGTTTTAATGCTTTTAAATGTAATCATCCATGTTTTAGCTCAATTATATACCTACATTTATTTATAAATCCAAAAATTTATCATTTGCTATTTCACTTTTCTTTTTTATTCTCTAATCAAATAACATGCTTCTACATACTTTTTAAATTTCATCTTTTAATCTATTTGATTGTGCATGGCTCTTAGATGTTGAATTCAAGCATTGATCATCCTATTTTATATATATATATATATATATATATATATATTTTTTTTTAATTTTATTGCAACCAAATTCTTATAAGTACCTAATATTATAAATTCTTTGTAAATAAAACCAACTACAAACAAGCAAGGTATTCTAGTCTATGAAGATGTTTAAAATAATAATAAGAAGAAGATTGTTGACTTAAACTTACAACTTCCATCTTTTATTGGAATTTAGAATCATTTTTTTTATTTATTTTTTTAGTTTAATTGAATAAGGATTATCTTGTCTTTTCTTCTAAAGTTTTCTTTAGGCTACTTATCATGAATCAAATAGCTTTATAGAATTAATGTGAAAAAATCTTTAATGTAATCTAAATAAAATATTCGATAGCTCCAAGGTCATTTGTAGTATCTTGGTTCTAGAATGTCTTTATAATCAAAGTTGGGATTAATGACTAAGAAGTACAAAATCATGATTTTTTTGTGTACTTTCTTTGTTTTTTAAAGAAAATAAAAAATAAAAAAATTTGATAATGCTTTTTAATAGAACAATTTAAACTTGTAATTTTAGAGTTGATTAAAAGAGCCACCAAAAAAATTAGTCGAGAAGATTTATCCTCAATAGATCAAGCAATAGCTACATGATTTAAAAATTATATTACCGACTACAGTTTCACGTGAAATAGTTGTCACAAGGAAACTGATGGAATTTCATGAAAATTCTTAGCTAGTATAGGCCTGGTTAAATGACTCTGCACAGGCTTTTTAAAGAAAATCGGAAATCAAATGCCCCAATGAGTCTCACCTGTGTCAGACATTAGTTGCTACTGATTACACCTCATCAGTACATGAGACTTAATCAAATGTTTTAATTTAAGGTTAAGATCCGATAACCAAAATTTTGGAGCTCCGTCCATGTGGCCTAGTTTTTGCTGCAATTCCGTGTTTTCTGAGATAGAGATGTTGCATCATTGGGTATGGTCGGTTGGTCCTGAAATTAGCCCAATTTCCCCGCGTCAGGTTGCGACTCTCGGCTCTGGATATTGCATACTTCAGGTGATGGGCCCGTGGAGGGACATGGCGAGAAGCTGCGTTTTCGCTACCTCGACAGAGAACACAGAAAAAAACATACTTTATGTGCCGCCCATTCGGCACATTCTCTCACTATGGAATCATACGTGGAATTAATTAAATATAGAATTAGTGACGATGTGAGAAACTGGGTGAATTTAACAATCCGTGAAAAGTGAGGCTGAGATTCGTCCATCAACTTACGAGGTGGAATTGTTGGCGTTTGCTATTCAAGGGTCTCGGAGAAGCATTCCCTGGTCAAAGGGCCATGACCTAGTGAATGAACATGCACCGGTAGACCTATACCTGTAAGAAATCGTGCCAATATTTCGACGATGCAAAGTGAAATATCTCTGACACCACGAGTTGTATGAGCAGTTGCTGCCTTCTGTTAATCATTCAGCATTCCTCCCACTCGGAGCCACCGCAAATGGTTCGATTTTGATGTAACCTCTCATGAGAAGTCCAGGAAACGTTCATCCACTTGTTCCACGCAACCGTCCAAATGCTGAACCGAACCCTCTTCATCACCAGTTGTTCTAAGCGTCCGACACACTAAATGGTCACACATATTAGGCTCAACATATTGCTAAAAGTAGAGTGTGGAGGGGCCTCTGACAGCCTGCATCTTTTCGACCCCCGTAAAAAGTTCGTGCTATGCCCGACAGGACTTGGTCTTGGGATGAGGAGTGCTCTCTCACGTGGATGATATTCTAGCCTATACTCTTGCTTTTCTTATTGCTTTCTCTCCTTACTCCACACGAGATTTTTTTGTAAAACGGATAAAAGGCAGCATTAAGCCAGATTTACTATTTTCGTCAATCACACTCAAAATTTAGAGAATTGTCCAACCTGATTCAATCTTGACCAACAAGAAAGTGGAGTCCTCTTAGAAAACTGTTACCATTTATACTACTAGTAAATGATCCAGTTATGTTTCGTGATGATATCATTATTGTCGCAAGACCATGAGTTACGAGGTTTGACGACTGCGTGGGTCGTGAATCTTTTGATGAGAAAAAAGCAGACCAACTTCGGAACCTCAATATTCAGAGCATCAGAGGACGATCAGACGCATTTTCATAATCAGTCAATGGCAACAGGTCAATTCCATACGTAAGGAATTATCCATTTAGTTCCATGGGAATCGCAATAACTTCCGTAAATCCGGCGACCTAATGTGAGAGCGGGAAGCAGGAAAACAAGGGCCTTGGATGATTACCAGGATGAAAGAAGAAAAGTGGGGCGTGGAAAAAAGGAGCATCATCCGCAGAGAAGATCCCATCTTCACCCTCGTTTGTCGCCCATGTAGGGTTGGGCAGCTCGATCAGAGCTGACACACCCACCAGAACTGTGTACCGAGTCAATTGAGTGAGAGCGAGAGAGAGATCAGAATGCCGAGCCTCATTCCCATGGCCCACCATCTATCCACCTGAGGCGCACTCTGTCAAGAGCCAGGTCAATTGCCTTGTTCCTTCAGATTCCTTTCGAACGCAGGAGTCCCGCTCAGGACTTGCAGGACAGTGTCTACATCTGTTGCCGTCCTCGAGGCCAACGTGAGGCTCTTCTTCGCTTGTTTCTTTGTTAGTTGTTGGCACCTTGAGTCCGTGAGTGCTTTGGTTGAATCCAGGGATTAGTGTTTGCTGACGGTTTAGCACACACCAGAGTCCCAAACTCAGAGCCAGGTTTTAACTATGTCTCGCCTCGTGGAGGGCATCAAGGAGGTATGTTATCGGCTACTGTGACCGGTTTGCTCTTAAAGATAGGATTGTTTGTGCTTCTGATCTCTGTGTGCGTTCTGTTCGAAGGTGCACATCGATGCAAGAAACAATCGCATAAGTTATTTTCTTTTCTTTTCATTTCTTTTCTTTGGCAGTGACCTCGTTGACCTCGTTGTGATGTGCACGTGAATTGGAGTTAGTGGCTTGTATGTTGGTCGGCACGCGTTTTATTGAGTGTCTGTTTCACCATTGCCATGAGGACTGCGAAGTCTGTGAAGCCCAAAGAAAGAGTCCTGCAATTTTCTGGAATATGATGGAATTCTCTGTATCGTCCACGTAGTGTTGGTCACTCTTCCTCGTATTTGTGTGGAAATGAATTGTTTCTGAAGGTATTTTGTCCGAATACCTGCGATGTATGTTTTGACGCTTAATGTGTTCGTGGACCTTGCAGTTGTTGAAAGGGAAGGACGAGCCAGAGTATCGTTACCGCTCTGGGTACGACCAGCGCTACTCCCAGGGATCCACGAAGTACTACGGCTATCCACAGAGCTCTACTTCGGAAGTGCGCAGCGGTTACCAAAGGCCATACGGGCAAGCTTTGGATGATTACCAGGATGGGTACGACAGGTCGGACCGGAAGTGGCGTGGGCAGAGCAACCATTCTCCCCGAGGTGATTACAGGAGAACCGCCCAGGAGTCTCCGCGCGAGTACCGCAAATCTTTCCGTGGCTCTAGGTTGGGGGACAACGACTCTGATGAGATCGAGTTGATGGTGCCCATGTGCTGCGACAAGTGCAAGGAGAAAGTAGAGGAGGAGTTGGGTGAGGTTGAGGGAGTGGAATTTGTGGAATGCGATCCCATGAACTCTCGGGTGACAGTTACGGGTAGTAATATCGACGTGAGCAGATGCCTGGTGAAGGCCGAGAGAGCCGTGAAGCAGAAATGCGAGTTGATCAGCAACGACTCCGATGACGACGAAGATAGCAAGCGTGGGTCTGGCCGCCGTGGTAGCTTGGGCCGTTATCAGAGCAGGGATGACTCATACCGTGGGTATTCGGTTCGTGACGAACGATCGGGCACCGGCCATTATCGCCCAGATTACGGCTCCAAGAGCGGCAGGCCGAGCTTGGGGAGGCTACCTTCTTTCGCCAGTGGCAAAGTGACCCAATACGACGGATACGGCCAGCGCGGCCAGGACTACGAGGTCAAGGATTATACGGGGTTCCGCAGCATGCCATCGTTCAACAAACACCGACATCACGAGGCGGAATTCATCACTAGCTATGACCAGCGACCTCAATACGCGGCTGATACGCGGGTGGCGTTTGCCAATGTCCGTCGCATGCCATCCTTCAACCGGCACCGACACCATGATGCCGAGTACATCAATGACCGTGAGTACAGTCCTCGCACATTCTATGAAAATGGTGCTAGCGCGTACACAACGGCTTATAACGAACGGCCAGTGTATCGATCTCAAGTGTCCTTCTCCCGTCTTCCCGTCGGGAACCCTAATTACGTGAAGCACATCGAGTACTGATCGATACAACCACCCTCTGGAATTGTGTTTTCTGGCATGGTATGACTATGTATTATTTTTCCACGTACAGGCGTCTCTGCGGAAAGTCAAATACTAAGTCGGCGCGTTCAATTTTCAGCAATCCACAGCGATTTTGTGCTCCGAGAGGTTCATGCTCGTCGGGCTCCAGACCCGACCTGCAGTGCACATGACAGTGCCCATCTCACAGCTTTAGCATAAAGATAATTTTTTGGTGCTAGGATTGTTACTGTTATCAGGAGGAGGCAGGATACGCTGGACCTTTGAATCCATGAGGTTGGCAGGGCAATCGCCCTCCTCACCTCGAGATGTGAAATAAACAGTGTTTTAGCGAAATGGGTTGAAAATGAGTGGGTGACTTGGCCTTTTTTCCAGTGAATTGTGAACCCTTCTTGTTCTGTTATCGGCACACCACTAAACTCGTGGATGATGCACTCAATCACGACACTGATATTTCTACTAGTGGTTTGTAGATTAATTGGACATATATATATATATATATATATATAAATATTTTGTTCCTGGCCATCAATTGGTTCTGAGTGAGAGTTGGCGTCTAGGTGGGAGTCTAGCATGGGGAGGGGGGGTTTGCTTGCCTGTCAGACATAAGATTGCCAGCAAAAAGTATTGGTTCTTCAACTGCACGAAATTTTACTCCAAATCTTGTTCCTTAGTCGTACAAAACACGAGGCATACGTGCTACATTACAGTAGAACAGAAAGATAGCTGGTGGTGGTGGTGGTGCCCTCCCCTCCCTCGCCCCGTACTATCTATCCCAAAGCTGCCTTCTGCGGCATCTTTCTCTTCTTCCTTTTCTTTCCTTTTGTTTTGTTTTGTTTGTTTGTTTGATACTTCCGTGAGTTTGTCGACACTAGCTGCAGCTCCTGTAGATGCAGGAGCAGGGGTGCTGATACTGGGTGGAGTGTGTGTCAGTGAAAGCTTCAATCACATGCCGAAAACAATAATATAAAAGCAACAACAACAACACAGTTAAAAAAAGAAGAAGCAAGCAAACTTCTTTTTATTACGCCACTCACTCACTCATCCCAATCTCTGCACTGCGATGCAGCCCGGACTGGGCTGGGCCGGGCTTCCTTCCCCCCTCGCACCCACTGTATGTGTGTATGAATGAATGTGTTCGTAGATGAATGTGTGCTTATTTGTGTTTACAGATTTGAGAATTGTAACTCTCTTATAAGCAATACTTTTTTTCATATTCTATCAATCTTCCCAAATGGTTAAAAAGTTAATTAATTTTAATAGAGAAGTGAATTGCTTCTCAAACACAAATGAGTTATGCTATTGAATTTGTCAAAAAAAAATAACATTCTTTAATTTTTTTAAAAACTTAGCAACAAGTTTTGTGTTTCAATTTTAATGATTATTATTCTTTTTTTTAAAAATAAAATTCTGAACCAAATGTCAATTAATTTAGTAAATACTATTAATTTTCTTTCTCTTGTAAAAATTTAAATTTTTTTTAGCATGAATAATAATTAATAAAATCTTTATTCATGTCATTGTTGTGAAGGTCTTCTCTTAATGGAGCCAAAGTATAGTGTAAACAAAGATTGTTACACACAACACATCCAGTGCTACAAACCAATCATAAAGTATGTAATCTAAATCAAATACAAATGCACAACCAACACACTTTCAATAATAGATTATAAATCTACACACAACTAAGTTAAGCTACCTCTCACACCACAAAGGAGGAATCCAAGAGTGCAAGTGTGAAGAATAGAGAAAATTCTAAAGCTTTATTAAAATAACTAAATCACCATAGATAAATAAATCTTTGTAACAAATTTTCTCTCTTTTAAAAGGCTTAGCTTGGCAAGAATGTCAAATCAAAGGATTTTTCTATCTAAGTATTCAAACCCTAATTGACATTAATAAGTCAACTAACAAAAAAAATTTAATGGATGGAAAAACCATAAATTATATATATTTGATGGGATTTGGTACTTGGTGTGACATCACGTGATTGTTGTTGTGTAAAAAAAGTTTGTTATACATAATACATCAAATACTAGAAAATAATTACAAAGTATGTAATTTAAATAAAATATAAATGAACAACTAATATATTCTTAAATACATCTTTTAATTGATTAGGAGCCTTTCCACTCAATTAGGACTATAAAATACACATATCCAAAGATGAATGTCACAATAATATTGTTGTAGAAATGTATTCATCAAAACCAACGTTGTAGTAGCTAGACCACCAAAATATATTAAAAACATGGGAGAAAAAATCTTCAATTCTTATCAAGATATAAGATATGACTAAAAGATTTCTTATAATAAGAAAAAATCAAATCTCCTAACAAAATAGTCAAAAGAGGTGGTGTGAAGCATGCCATATGCCACCCTTGTTGGTATTGATTACAAAAAAGTATGGTAAGAACTATTTTTTTCTTACCATATACAAAATAAAGAGGATCAATTGATATGGTTATTAATTGAGGATGTACAAAATCATCAATAGGAAGATGATAAAAAAATATAATTCTTTAAATTTTTTAGACACTCTTATTTATCATTTCCTTCCAACAATAAAATATTATTAGATAACATAATATATATATAGAATTATGCGCCCTATCTTAACATCAAGTCTTGTAGATACCTTATATTATAAATATATATAATTTCCTTTGAAAAATATCCATAATTGAAATCAATAAGTTCCACTACAAATACAAGCATATTGTAAGATATTGCAATGTTAAATAATAAATAAGTTTTTTATAGCCATAGGCATGGCCTTCTTAAAGAACTTTAGTATATAAAGCCTCAAATATCCTTAAAAATTTTCTCTTTTGATCTGTTGAGACTTCAATACGTGGTCTAATATGATTAAGAAAAACTATAGCTCTTAATTTTAAAGAATTTTGTGATAAGGCCAGAAGTTTAATCTACTTACTAAAATACTCTGCCATCAATAATATGTATTTAACTATATGTATAATAACAATAAGTAGTCCCATAAAATCCAAAGACCAATGGTAATCCAAATTTATGATACATAAGGGCTTCGACCGAGGTAATAAGATGATAATGCTCGATTACACATTTTACACCAAAAAACATATATGGCCACTTATTAATACATATCATTCTATCAATATTAGTTTTGTAATACAAAATATGTTATGCACACCTCAAAATGATCAAATTCTCCATGTACTTGTTGTGCCAAGAAAGTTCTTTTATCTTGTCTTGGAACTTTGTGTCTAGCTCTATGAAGCCATATATAGAAGAATTAATTATTTTTTCAACAAAACCTTGTTGTTTGGTGTCTTATTTTATTTTTATTTTTATAGTAGAAATAGTTAAAAGAAATATTCTTTGTTGAAGCTTGTATAAGACTATAAGATTCTCTCACATATTGCAAATCACTTGGATTTTTTTCCATTTTTTATGTGAGCTTTGATTAAGAATTAATGTTGTAGAACTTGACATATAAGTCAAGTATGTAGTTACATACCATCAAATAATTGCCTTTCTATTGCAATTCCTTTACCACCAAGCTTTAATTAAGTCTTCTTTTAAATGACTTGGATTACAAGGAAGACCATTAACATCCAAATTGGTAATGCATGTGCAATATACAACCTAAAATTCATATTCTTGAAGCAATAAAGTCTATCTAACAAATTTGATACTAAGCTTATATGATTCTATGAGCCACTTCAAAGGTTGATGGTCAGTTACTAGTATAAATTATTGAGTATACAAGTAAGATTAAAAGTAAGCAATAGCCCAAAATGCTACCAAAGCTTTTCTTTCATAAGATGAATAATTGCATTTTATATTGTTATTTCTTCTATAAAATTTAATGACATATTCTTGTCTCATATAATCTTTCTATGTCAAGATTGCTTCCAATCCTACTGCACTTTAATCTATGTATAGTTGAAAAGTTTCAATGGCATTTGAATGTCAAAATATTAGAACTAAACCCAAATTTTGCTTCAATGTGTCAAATATATGTTATTACTCACAATCCCAAGTTCATTGCTGATTTTTGACTATGAAAATATTTTAAGGCTTGGAAATCAAGTTGAAGTTCTTAATAAACCTTTGGTAATAATTTATTAATCTTAAAAAAGCTTCAAGTTGTAAAATATTACTTGGTCTTGAGATTTTTATCTTTGCTTATTGCACACAAAGATTTCTTAGGATAATTATATGATTCAAATATGGTAATAATTTATAGAAAAATTTATACTTTCCATGATACAAATACAATTTTTATTATTGTAATCACTCAAATATTGCTTATAAATGCCACACATGATGTTGTAGGCTACTATTACAAATGAAAACATCATTAATATAGTATCTAGCAAATAAAAAATTAGATAAAATTCAACCTATCATCTTTTGAAACTCAATTAATGCATTTTTTAGGCCAAATAGAAGAAATTTCTAATAATAGAATTTATCTTTGCTATCTTACTTAATTCTCTAAAATATTTTATTTACTTGATCTTTAATAAGTATTGATAACTGATGATAACTAGATCTTAAATTATAAGTGCTAAATACTTAAAAAAATCTTATTATATTAAATAATTCTTCTAGCATTGGTATTGGATATCAATGAGACTTGGTCTTATAATTAACTTAATAATAGTCTCTATATATTTGCTTTTTTTATCTAATTGCTAAAAAAATCCTATTTCAAAGCCATAACTATAGTGCAAGCATATTAGTCATTGAAAAGTTCAATTAATCTTGCAATCAATAATTCATGGCAACAAGTATAGATATCAACTTTTTTCTAAGGCATTAAGTTTGTAAGGTCATCAAAAGATTGAATGATCATCTTTCAATTGGATGTGAATAAATTTGGATTTATAACCTTGAAGGTCTTTAAGGCTAAAAGCAAAGTAATTACAATATAAGAAAATAAAAGCTTGCATACTTCTTTTTTTAGCACATCTTATTGTATGGTCTCTTTTTTCATCAATAGAGTACTATTATATGCTACCATGGCCTTTAATTACTAATATGTTGAAGAAATAATTCTTGTATCCTCAACATCTTCATTTATAAGCAAATGAAGGACTTCATTACGACAATGTGTATATGAATTAACAATGTTAGTAGAATATGAAGTATCTTTCAATAAAAAAATTTATAAAAAAATCTCTTATATATATATATATATATATATAAATTCTTTGTTTAAAGCAACAACAACATGTTAATATTATATCTCATTAGTTGTATGGTTCTTTAAATAAAAAATAACTCAAATTCTTCAAATTTAAAATTAATTAATTCAAGATCTATTATCCTTTGATTATTATTCATTGACCTCATAGTACTAAAATGATAATGAATATTCTTTTAA